TGTAAATTACCGTGAGTAAGCAGCATGTTTTCCTTTCTCCATCCTTCTGTGACCTCTCCCAGGAAAAGAGCCCAAATCCCTGTTTGTTTCAGCACTGCCCACCTTCAGTCTTATCATCCTGTGGCTCTGGGCTCGGGATTCATTTTGTCTTGTCCAGGAGGTTAGCGTCTTATTCTTCTGATTATCTCGTTCTTTCCAGTGTGTTTCTTGTAGTAGAAATTCTTTTCCCCTCCCCCCCACCCCAATTTTTTTTTTGAGGGGGGCATGTCTTTTATTGCTGACTACTAAGATTGGAAACCTGCTTTCTTATCAGTCAGTATAAAACATTTCGATTTTAATCAAGTGAGCAAAGACTTCCTTCAAAAGAATGCTGTGAGGAATGGGAGCTCCTTGAGGGAACCACTCCTGGTTCCACACACAGTCCTCTCGGCATCTCGCCCCCAGCCTCGCCCCAGGGGTGGTGCTCCACGGAAGCCACTGCCTGGATTTCTGTGGCTCCCTTATTGTTTGACTGGAAACCAAGGTCGCTTCATGCATTCCTTCAGCCATCATCATGCTCAGCATAGTGAACTGTCATCCTAGTGAGAGAGACAAATGAGCATGATTACAAGGTGCCATGGCTGTTTGGAAGGAAATAAACTTGGGGCGGAGATAGAGAATAATGGAAAACAGACGACCTTTCTATTGTAGATTAAATGGCCAGAGAATGGGACTTTGGAGCTAAGGCCTAGGGACACGGACAAAGTTGGGGGGGGGGAGGGGCGGGTGAAGGGGCGGCACCAGGGAGAAGGTGAGTCATCAAGGCAGAAAGATAACTTCCCTTGAGGCCAGAAGAAATGTGGCCTGTTTGAGGATCTACAAGTGTGGCTACAGGGTCCTGAGCAAAGGTTTGGGGCTGGGCAGTAGGTGATGAAGTTGGAGAGGCCGAGATGGGGGCCTTTGTAACCTTGGTGAGTTGGGTTTTGTTCTAAGTGTAGTAGGAAACAAGGGTGAAGTGATCTAACCCAGTGGACGGCAAACTCGTTAGTCAACAGAGCCAAATATCAGCAGTACGATTGAAATTTCTTTTGAGAGCCAAGTTTTCTAAACTTAAACCTCTTCTAGTGCCACTTCTTCAAAATAGACTCGCCCAGGCCGTGGTGTTTTGTGAAAGAGCCACACACAAGGGGCTGAAGAGCTGCATGTGGCTCGAGAGCTGCAGTTTGCCGACCCCTGATCTAACCCATTTCTCTATGTTTAATTATGTTTGTTGCTATGAGGTAATGGTGGCCTGATTTGAAGGTTTGGATAAAAAACGTGGTTGGATTTGAGCTGTACTAGTATTTCAGAGATTAGATTGGAGAATTGGACATGGGCAGGGGTGTGGTGAGGGGAAGGGAAGAATCATGTTGACTTGAGCACCCTGAGGTGGGGAAGCCTGGGCAGTAGGGAGGAGGTTATGGAGTGAGGAAGGGGAGGATTCCAGAGCTTTCTTGTAGATGTGATAAGCAGCTGGCTTATGTGAGGTTATTGGGGACCGAGTTGTCCAGAAGGATCTGATCTGGACATGTGAGCCTGGAGTGCAGAGGAGAATTATAGTCTAGGGATGTAAATGTGAGAGTCACAGCGCAGAGAGCGCTCTGAGCCTTGGGGGGATAGATGACATGCTAAATGGTGGCATTTCCATTAATTCGTGACAACAGCTCAGGCTACCCACGTGGCCAATTTGAGAATTTGCTGTATTAAAACTGTAGAACCACAGTTATTTTACTGCAAGAAAAACACTTGAAATGTATTTATGCTACCAATGACCAGGAAGGTGAAATGCTATACTTGGCGCCATAAAACCATCCTCTCAGCTTGTTTTCAGAAAAATCCATATCTGGATGGTGTGACCGAGTCATTAGTAGTGACTGGCTGGCTGTGTACTAATAGGTCAGGTGTAACTTAAACCCCAGAGGCCTCTGGGCAAGTCCGTTGGTCTGAAGGTGGCTGTGATAAAGCAGAGGAGGTCATTGGTGCCCAGATTAGCATCAAGGGCAAAAAGCTAAGGAAACCTAGAAGCTTTCCACTAGAGTCCGGCCAGTTATTTTGTGAGAATTTTGCTGCTGGGAAAACAAGCAGGAAGGTGGGGGATCACGCTTACTGAACATGAGGGTTTATAGGACTCACTGAATAGCTTCCTTAGCATGCAGTCCTGGGCCTCCCTCCTGGGTGATCAAATAGCTCTGGTTGGGGCTCAGGAGTCTATTTTTACCAAGTGGTTCTGGTGCAGGTGACCCACGGATCACACTTTGAGAGACGTTGAGTCTAAAAAGTGCTTTGAGGTCATCCAGGCAGCCCTACTCACCCAGGGGAGACAGGTGTACGGAGGAGAGGGGCTACTTTGAGTCAAAGAACAAGTTGGTGCAGCTCTCCTAACTCACATTTCTTCATTCCGCACTTTATTCTTCATCCTAACGGTGGATAAAAAGCAAGTCTCCCCTCCCAGTTCCCAACTCCCCTCTCCTCACTGTAATTTTTTTTTTCTTTTTCCAAAGCACCTGTCACAGTCCAATGTAAGAGAAATTTACTGTGTTAACTAATATTACCTGTCTGTCTTACCGCACTACAACGTTAGCTTCAAAAGGGCAGCGATTTGTTTTGTTTCCGCTGAAAAAGAAAACACTCCCGCGTGGGTTGTGAGGGAGTGAAACGGGCAGCAGCGGCCTCCCCAGAAGTGGCTCAGTGAGCTGCCACCGCAGGCGTCTCTCTCCGTGCATCCTGTGCCCCGGACAGAGCCCGGCTCATCGTCGGTGTTCAGTGACTATTTGATAAATGGACGGATGGATGGATGGAAAATATTTAGTTGAACTATAATTATAATAAGTTCAATGGGCATTGCAGGCAAGTGCCAACCTGTAGGCATGTCAGCTCAAAATAGTATAGAATATTTTCTTTTTTACTTGTTTGATATTGGCTTAGAACAGAAGTTACAGAAGTAGCTTATTTATGGAGATTAATAGTAGTCTTTTTAATAATATTAGCAACAGTTATAGAAATAACAGTGATAACTGCTATCATTTTTGGAATGCTTACCATCTGCTACATGCGTACTGTATGAAGTTCTGAGAACTCTGCACCCTTAGCTCATCCAGTCCTCACTACAGCCTAAGGATGGAGGAACTGGTGTTGTCTGTTTTCCGGAAGAGGAAACCGAGGCTCGGAGAGGTGCAGTTATTTGTCCAGGGTTACACAGCCTGTAGAGATTTAGGATCTGTGATCTGAAAGGGAAGTCCTTAACTACCAGCCACATTCAGTATCGACAGTTCAAGCTGGGGTGTTCTCTGCAGAAGGAGTTAGAAAAGCCAAAGACTAAGGAAGCATCACTTTTTGGGGTGTCCCTGGGCCAAGAACACCAGCCTCCTAGATGGTATAAAACTACAGGCTGGAAAGGAAGTTGCATTTTTCCCATCATTTCCCCACACTCGGGTCTTTCCATTCTCACATAACAAAGGACCTTTGGTCTTAAACTGTTAGGCTTTTCTCACTTCTCAGACAACTTCCCTGTAGTGGGGCCAGTGGAAATTCCTGCGGTGTCAGGTCCCTAAACCATTGCTGGGGAGGCCACTCGACACTCACTCCCCCCACTCCCTAAAGGAAGGGGGACAGAAAGGCTCCTTCACGCTCCTGCCTGACCACTTCCCGGTGGGGGCCTCAGGAAGGGGCCGAGGGAGGTGATGATTCTATAAATCTCTCTTAAGATTTGAGTGAGCCTTTTGAGTTCTTAAAACCGATACCTATTAAAAGGGTAGTGAGCTCACAGGATTTATCACCACCTGCTGTGGACAATGCTGCATTCATTCCCCCTGCCAGCCAGGACCGGCCCTGCTTGGGTTCAGTGAAGACTCCACACAGTTGGCAGCCAGGCCACTCACCCAGCAGCTGCAGACGCAGGCAGAGCGCTCCTGGGCTTGAGTGAGGAGGCCCAGCTGTCACAGGCAGTGCCATCTCTCAGCTCACCACCTACCTGTCGCACACAGTGCCGTGTCTCAGCTCACCACCTACCGGGCACCGTGCTAGCAGTTCTAACGAGGAACATGATGAGGCGTTGCTGTCCCACTTCTGTAGACGAGGAAGGCCAGGGGAGATGGGCAATTTGCCTGAGTCTCACGGCACTTGCGAGAGGCAGAGCCATGTTCTAACCGGGGGTGAGCTGGTTGTGAAGCGGTGCTGGGGGAGTCTGCTCCTCCTGCGATGCCGCCGGAGAGCAAGAGCACCCACTCTGGTTTGGAACCCAGACTCTGCCCTTCCTCGCTGTGAGGCGCTGGCAGGGTGCTTAGCCACTCTCTTCGTTCACTCGTTCATCTGTAACTGGGGGATCATTACATGCTCAAATGATAGGGTTTCAAGGATTAGATGAATCAATGGATGTAAAGCATTTTATGTGCTAGCCGTTGTTACTAATTTATGTATCGAGTCCTGTTTTCTTCTGTGGGTGATGGAATCTCAGAAGTTTCAGGGTTTCTCCAATCCCCCACCCCTGGATTGTGTTTATAAGATGCTTATGTAGATAATCCACAGAAAGTGCTTAGAGTGGGGTCTTGGGCACGATTACCCCCAGTAAATGTTAGCGATGATTAATGCGTGTGACAGCGCACAGACCCTGGTGTGGGGAGAGAGCACCTGCCCCTTACTCAGCATCATCTCCTTGGTGCGGTGTCCAGATGCCCATCTCCTGGTCAGACAGAATGAGGAGACAACCACTAGTTTGCATACATCAAACCGCTGTAATTTTAATGCCTAACAATGAGTTTAAAAGGTAGGGGAGATGAAGTGTGATTCATTAAGTTCTCGGTCCAGGCACAAAGAAATTAGCAGCTGGAACTCTTACAGGAAGCAATGGTCTCAGAGAAGCTTGGTGGCATGCCTTCATTTGAGTGAACTGCCACTCTTCACCCCTGCCTCCCCTACTCCGTGTGACCACACGTTCATCCCTCTCCCTTCCCCCTGGGTGACAGTACTTTCCCCTTCTCTCCTAGCTTAAGAGCTGGACAGTGGAGGACCTTCGGAAGAGGCTGTTGGCCCTCGACCCCATGATGGAGCAGGAAATTGAAGAGATCCGGCAGAAGTACCAATCCAAGCGGCAGCCCATCTTGGATGCCATTGAGGCTAAGAAGCGGCGGCAACAGAACTTCTGAGCCAGGCCGGGCGGGAGGGCCCACCCCCACTGGCCTCCGCTGAGCTCGGATCGGACCGCTCGCTGCGCACGCTGGTGGGCCACCACCCGCCGCGGCTTCTCCAGGCACCTGTGAGCTCAGGAACGTGCGCCGGAGGGAAGGCTGCCCGCTGGTCAGCGAGCGAGTCGTCAGGTTTATTGTTTCAAAGGATTTGTGTGGGCACTTTTAAACTCAGAGTTTCGAACCCCAGGAACAGAGACTCCTAGTCAAATGACAGCTGGGAAAGTTTTACATCGTCTCTTGTTTTTCTTCTCCCAGTAGCCTTCAGCTGTTCTTTCCGGAAGACTTTTTAAAAACCATAAATATGCATATATGTGTAAATTGTAACTAGATTCCCCACTCCGTGTGGTGGCATCTCTGTACAGGTACAGTTCTTCTGCCTCTTTTCTGTGAGATGATGGTACTGTGGAACACAGGGCAGGCACACTGGGGGCCACTCCACTCCCAGAAGCCAACCTCACCCTTTTGCAGGGCTGCTTATTTAAAAATTAGGTCCGGGCCAGTTTTCACCACGTCTCGGCCTTGTGTAGGTCATCCCGGCTCCTGGAGCTGTCGGTGGCGTCCAGGGGAAAGCCTGGAGAGGCGTGTTTACTTTTGAGTCCCCGGAGAAGCCTGGCGCCTTCTCTGCAAATTGGCCTTTGTGGTTTCAGCGTCTTTTATCCACCTCCACTCTCCCGACTGCCGGAGTCACCGCCCAGATCCTGCCCAGTGCCTTAAGAGGAGACGTGACCCAGCGAGGGGGCAGGCCTGCTAGGATCTCCCAGCAAACACGGGGCTGTGATCCATCCACAAAAGGGAAAGGGCTTTGAAGTTCTCATTGTTCATGAGAAGATCACACGCGTGGCATTTTGCACTGCATTCCTTACAGACGGGTAGGAGGCATGGATTTTGTGATCCACATTCAAATATGTGACTTTTTTATTTTATTGCTAAGAGGTCTGGAAGGGATAGTGAATGTCAGACTGAGATTTGTTCTCCAGGAGGCTCAACCCACACACGTGGAAGTCGGAGCTGGAAGGGACCCTAGCTGTCTGTTATGGCTGAGGCCGGAAAGGGCAAGCAGAATGGCCCAAATCACAAAGCAGGTGGAAGTGGGAGCTGCTCCCTCCCCTTCACTGAACCAGCAGCCCCTTCTCCAAGAGAAGAGACCCATTCGGTTTTGGTTAAGTTACTCCAGGCAAGCCTGCTAATGGGAACTTGCTCTCGCTTTCTCCCTTCAACGGGTGAGGCTGTGAGGAGATTCCCAGGGGAGCTAGATCCTGTGCCAGCCCCTCCATGGCCTCTGCACCATCTGCCGGACAGCAGACAGGCCTCCTGCAGGCAGATTTACGGCCAAAAGCAGAGCAGAGGGCTCGCAGAAGACAGCACCGAGCCCTTCTGCAGCGATGGCTCAGGGCCGCCCGTCACTTAGTCACACGGCAAAGAGGAGACAGTTGGGAAGGGCAAATGTGTTTTTATTCCCAAATATCTCTTCTTCTCAGATAGGGATCTGGGCCTGGGTTGCACCTAAGGACACTGAAATTAGACCCCAGAATTGCTTTTGCTTCTCAAACCTGGAAATCAATAGAAAGGCGGGGGAATGTTCCTCTTCTGTGGCCAGATTCTGTTCTTTGCGATTAAAGCAAGTTTTGAAAAATGCAAGAGCCAGTTGTTCTGCAGGGCTTGGCCAGTTAAGCAGCTGTGTGGCAGATACAGAGAACAGGGACAATCTGAGGGTCCCCCTGGAATAATAAATGGCAGCTAGCACTCATTGACCACGTGATGTGCCCGGCACATTGCCCAGTAGACCCTTTCTGTGAGCTCCAAATTTCACGGTAACTGTGAGTTAAGTTCTTTATCTCCATGTCATAGACAAACAGGTTCGGGGAAGGCAGTGTAGCTAGTAAGTGATAGAACCAGGATTCGTAACATCACTGTATGGGACCAGCATTTACAGGGGAAAGTTTTTTTTAAATGAAGGGACCACCTTTTCTCACTCAGACTAAATAACTCTTAACAGGCATTTGTAAGCTGGAAACAGCTGAATTAGTAGTCAAGTCTGACAGCCAAGTGAATTTTAAGAACCAAATCATGGAGCAGGCTCTCCCCCACACCAGCTGCTGTGCTAGCTAGCAGTCCGGCCTCAGCCTCTTTCTTTTTTAAAAAAGGACTTTGTACTTGGCCAGCAATGCCCCTTTTCTGTCTTCCTAAGCTAGATCTAAGTAAAACAAGTTTCAGTTTTTCCCTATAAATATTCCTGAATCTTGATCTGGAGTTTATTTTGTTTCAAGCATGTGTGCACCCAACATGCTGGTCCAACGAAGTGCAGTGCTCTTCAGTCTAGCTAGACATAGTCCTCTGCCAGAAATCAGCCTCCTTTGGATCAGATAAACTTCCTGACCAGTTGTATTTGTTTTCTAGTGACAGGAAGGCAGAGGAGAAAATCCTAGTCATGTTTTTCCTTGAATACTAATTGAGCTCTGAGCGGCAGTCATTTTTTAAGCACTTGTGACTCAAGCTTCTAGGGAATTCTTAGCCCCTTACTTGTTCTCTCCTTCTAAGAAACGATGACCCACACCTAATTGTGTCTTTAAAAAATCTTGAATTCTCTAAGAATGTCTTTATTGCTTCCTCAGCAGTAATTTTGAAGCAAATTTCTATTTTTCCTTCTCCATTATCCCTTCTCCCAACCATTGTATTGATGGATGAGTGTTTGGATGGATGGATGGATGGATGGATGGATGGGATGGATGGATGGGATGAATGGATGGGATGGATGGGATGGATGGATGGGATGAATGGATGGGATGGATGGATGAATTATAGACAGACTAACCAATACTCTGAAGCAACTTAAGAACTGTAACCTTAACTTCTTGAGACTATAGATTCTGATCCAGGTTATGTTTGTTTAGCACCTAGCTGGTGCCAAAAATTTATTATACCATTTAAAATTCAGTAGCTCTTAGCAACATCAAGAATGAGAGTGGTCTTTATTGATCCCATGGGCTAATATTATGAACAATTTTATGTTAATAAATTCAACAATTTAAGTTAAATAGACTAATTGAAAGTACAAATACTAAACTCACTCAAGAAGAAATAGATAAGCTGAATAGTCCTATATTAAAACAAGCTCTGAGAGATCTAGGTATGTTGTTTTCTTACAGATAAAGGCAGCAGGCTCAGAGAGATGAAGTCTGCTGCTCAAGGTCACATAGCTAAAATACGGCAGAGCCAGAATTCAGATTCATTTCTGATTCTTATTCCAGTGCCCTTTCCAGCATACCATGTTGCCTCTAAAGTTTGCAGCTCCTTATTTACTGGAAAACTGTTTCTGTCCACTCCACACCCTCCCACCCCATCCTTTCTTAAGCGCTATGTTTGTGTTTTCATCAGGATTATATTCACTGTCTTTGGAATCCATGTTCTTATTTGTGTTTGGGGGGGAAAATTCTTCCACCAGCTTGTACTCAGATCAACTTGGGAAAAAAAGCATAAATGCTGTTGCAGATGTACAACTTAAAAAATGTGAAGTTTGTAGCTTTAACTTTTTTGTAACAAAAATAACACTGGCTTAAGTGTTGACTTGAAATGCTGTTTTATAAGGTTTGGATGTAAATAATCAGTCAAAGTCAATAGTTTGTATATGTATGAGACATAGTTTCCTTCTTTGCCTTGTTGTTTTTAATTTGAGATGCTTCCTATGTGCTTTTGTGTTGGAATTATCTTCCCTCCTTCCTTCTTCCTACACCTTTGTTTTAAATAAAGGCTGTCCTCTTTTTAAAAATGAGATCCTCCGTCCATAGCCTGGATAGTGGTGTTGTGAACCTTCGTAACATTGACTTTGTATTATTCTTGTTCTAGAATCCAAAGCCAGGGGAGAGGTGGTAGGATAGGGAGTAAACTTTTGTTGATTACCTACTGTATGCCAGATCCTGAGCTAGTTAACTGTCAGGGGTATAAAGATGAACCAGACACAGTTCTTGCAGACCAGCTGGAGAGTCGGTCAAACGCACAAGAACCACATTGGAAATGCGGTGGCAGAAGGAAGTTCACGGCCTGTGGACACATGAGGAGGGATGGTCAGTTCTGCTGAAGTGTCCGAGGAAGCTTTTCTGGAGAAGGTAATGTTCTGGAGAAGGTATCCTGAACTTACAAGATGAGGAAGTGATGGCAAGTGGAGAAAGGGTGGGAAGAGAAGGCATCGTGGGTGGAGAGACCAGACTATACAGATAGAATGGTGTGAGAAAATTGTTTATAAAGCCTCATGTTAAACCAAACCTCATTACATTTAAACACAAAGTCAGTCCTCACTTAATATTGTCAATAGGTTCTATAACTTTAAATGAAATGATGCATAACTAAACCAATTTTACCACAGGCTAATTGATGTAAGTTAGTGTTGGATTCCTATGGCATCTCATTAATGTCACAGCAAAGCCACGTTGAACGAAATTTTATTTTTCTTTAGGTCCTACTCTGCTGTCTGTCCTGGTGGGGCTGTCGGTGACAGATCTTCCATTCTTTCCCCCAGCCACATGATGGGCATGCAACCCAAGCCAGTCCAGTTAGACTCAGTCTTCAGGGAATTGCTCATTTGAACAGTTATACATAGAATAGAGGCAGTTGTCCCTGAGGTGTTTTAATTACAGCGCCCTAAGAGGTGGTTCATGGGTCCTCAATACCATGGTCCCCATATCACCCTTGTTCCTTTCTCAGAGCCCGGTTTTTTAATCCTAGCCAGGAGCTATTCCATGCACTCATTTTTTTGCTTAAGTTTTCCAGAACTGGCTTCTGTTATTTGCAACTAACAACTCCTGACTGATACAGAAATCAGAACAGGCAACATGTCCTCCAGAGAATGTGGGTGTTAAAAATTATCGAGCTGTCATGAGGCAAGACACTCAAGGTTGCTGCTCATGCTCTGGCTCAGGCTCCCGCAGACCATGAGGTGCAACGGTCAAGGGCTACTTCCTGTGTTTCTAAATATGGTCTGACCACCGAGGAGGTGACTCGTGGAGAAGGGGGAGCTTTTGTCACAGTCTGATCTGAAGAGGAGAGGCATATCCAGGCTGTGGGATCGAATGTTTATTTCTAATTGCACAGAATAATGTAAAGGGACAGTCAACAAAGCAAAGCCCAGAATAATCTGAGCACAGAATGAAACGGAGAGCACTTCCCTGGCCGTGGGGCTGAGATCTCCCCAAACCAAAGTTGACAATGCATGTGCAGGTTGCCAAGGTCACAGCCCTGCTGCACTTCAGTGAAGCTGGGCATCGGCAGGAAGCGTGGGATAGTGACAAGTGGATTGGCTCCATGAGAGGACGTGGGGCAATCCAAAACACTGTTCCCACCCTTCCCTCCTGGAGGAAGCTCCCAAGTGCCTGCTTGCCCCACCCCTCAAGGCTGCCTAACTGGAAGGAGGGACTCAGTTTTGGCCTACAGGGTGAAAAACAGACTCTGAGTGAGTAGGAAAGAATCTTGGAGCCATGCAGAAGTACAGAAACTTGTTAATTGATACCATCAGCAACGTGGGGAATATTCGTGGGAATGGATTTTTGTGGTGCTTGAAGAAGGCCAGGGGAAGGTAATGTTGGACCAGGCTGATCTTCTTGACATGCAGCACGTACCAGGGGTTTTGCATTCTCCGTGCTCCGGCCAGGAGCTGGCTGGGTTCTAACAACTGATGGATTGGCCAGTGCAAACTTGGACCAATCGCTGGCCCACATGAAATGGAATTTAAAGGCCCCAAATTCTTTGGCATCAGAGAGGAAAGGATTCAAATATTTCCGAAGCTAGGAGGCTGGACTGGATCTCATTTTTGCCTCCTTCCTGCAAATACCTCTAACTATGGCCCTCAGTGAACCCAGAACACTTGACCCTTGCTCTGAGGATAGTCTAGGTCAAGGGTTCTGGGTGGAGGGCTCCCAGATACCAGAGGGGAGGGGGAGGGCAGAGGTGTGGAAGGGCAGGTGTTGATATCTGACCCTCAGAAATTAAGCGGGAATGGTCATTGTAGTATTCAAAAGACTCTGAATAAGTCATGATCTCAGGCTAGAGGACTCTAAAAATTTTAATCAGAGCTGACCACTCAATTCTTGATTGTATAACCAACAAAAAAAAGCAAAAAAAAAAAAAGTCTCTAAAGCAAAAACAAACACCCTGAGTTAAACCACCATGACCAGTGCAGAGCTTCGCCTAATACCTAATACCCAGAGTCTGGTTGTTGATCTAAAGCCCTGTGAATGGAATATATGCTAACTGCCCTGAGGAAGGACTGCGGTACTGCTGCTCTGCGGATGAATGCGAACATTTCCTGCCTTCTCCAAAAGGACCTGTGGCCACTGACCAAGGTAACCAGGTGCAGAAGAAAGGCAAACACTAAAATCTTTCAGGGAACCTTGAAGAAGACTTGGAGCTAATATGTTCATATCAATGTCTTGGGCCGAAGGGTACCATTTACTGGAGGCTCACCATCGTGTGGAAAATAATGTTTTGACCTTTTTCCACGTCACCGGAGGTCTAGTGGGATCCCAAACCTGTCCTCTATCTCCAGTTTCTGAGTGATAGTTTGTAAAGATCCCTCCTTGGCTCCCTGACCTGTGGAGGCCAGTAGAATCCAATTGAGCCACTGTCCCAGAATAGACACTCAGCGGTGGTACCACATCTCTGAGGAGGCTGCAGAGATCAGGGACCCCACCAGAGACTCTGGAGAGGGATGACTTCCATCAAAAGTTTCCCCTGTTTGACCAGCGCAAGGCTGGATGGGTCTTGGAAACTGACAGGGGGGTATTTTAATCAAGAGGCGATTCTAATTTTAACCGCTGTACTAGGTATGTGCTCTGTATTACACCCCTGGAGCCATGGGCATCTCTTGGTTTAATTCTCTCTTCCAAGAATCAGAAACCACCGGAAGCCTTTTGCTGGGAAGGGTAACAGTTTCCTTTACTGTTCACTCTGGGACACCTGAGTTCTCTCCCAGCTCTGCATCAGAGAGACGGATTCCCTGATTCCACTTCAAGACCTCAAACTGATCCACCACATTGGTTAAATCACATCGATAGGGCCTAGAGGGCAAAGATCTTTTCCTTATGTTAGACACATTTATAAAACATGTTTAGGAAGAACATGTGCTGGGCAGCCACGAGTTGGGATGTTGTGGAAATGTACTATTTTTGCCTGTTTAACATCTCTCCCCTTTATTTTGGATGGGTAGAATGATCCAGGGAAAGGTGATTGGAGGAGGGTCATTTGAATGACAGTTTCCTAAACAGAAGGTTCATGAGTCCTGTACATCAGTCCCTAGAGCTCGCCTCGTTCCTGTATTTCCTGAGGTGTGGTCATTCAGCCTGTCCTTTGATTGGGTGAGCCTCACCAATCCTCTTTTATAATAGGCTGAATGGTGGTCCCAAAGCTATGTCTACACTGTAACCTCGGACCCGTATGTTACCTTGTTTGGGAAAAGGGTCTTTTGGCAGAAATGACTAAGTTAAGGATCTCCAGATGAGAACATCTTGTATTATCCCAGTGGGCCCTAACTACCATCATAGGCGTCCTTATGAGAGAGGGGCATTGGGAGAATGGACACACACAGGCTGTGATGACAAAGGCAGTGTTTGGAGTGATGCAGCCACAAGCCAAGCAATGGCAGCGGCCACCAGAAGCCAGCAGCCACCAGAAGCCGGAGAGGCAAGGAGAGAATTCTCCCACAGAGCCTCCGGAGACAGTGTGGCCTGCTGACACCTTGATTTTTGGGTTTCTGGCCTTCAAAAGGGTGAAGGGATACCGTAAGTCTGTTGTTTTAAGCCATCAAATCTGTGGTGATTTGTTATGCAGCCACAGGAAATGAATACATCTTCCAATAAATTCAGTTTTTCCCCTTAAGGTTTCTTTTGCTAGTATCCAAAGAACCCTAGTTGTAAATGTTGTTCATCACTTCCATGATTGAGGCTAGTGAATTTCCCTCTTGGACCAAGTTAATTCCAGCTGGATTCCTGTCACTTGCAACCTGTGCCCAGTGTAAGATTGGAACCAGAGGTGGGGATTCTGAGTCACTCCACGTTACCACTCCGCCCTCCCCAATCACCCAGAAAACATGCCAGGCAGCCAGCTCCATACAGGCACAAACAGGTCCCTGGGCCCAGCCTCTTTATTTGCATAATGGCTACATTGATACATGGGAGTGGGAGGGAGCTGTTGCTTTTCTGCCAGGACCACACACAACCACACGATAGACTCAGGCCAGATTCTCTCCTGAGCTTTCCCCACACCAGCTTCAGGGCCTTGTCTGTGGGGTCAGAAATCCTGGAAGCTAGCTGGTTACTCGCTGGGTTTAGCAAGACCGTGAGGGTGGTTGCATGCAGCCCACCTGGTCTCTGTGCCTTGACCTGGGCAGAGCTGGACTTATATGTCACAAAGTGAACATGTGGGAGGGCCAGTGGTGTGTGTGTGTGTGTGTGTGTGTGTGTGTAGTCAATTCATGGGTGGCCCTTGGCTCAGTTCCAGTCTCTGCTCCAATCTGTGTCCGGAAGCCTATGTACCAGGCCCTGTGTATGATATGAGGCCTTCACACATGCTGTTCCCTCCGCTTGGTATACACTGCTTTCCTGGAGCCGGCCCCCCGCCCCCCCCCCCAAACTGGCTAATTTCTATTGATCCATATGTTAAACTGTCCACTTGCTCAGGAAAGTCTTCTCTGACCGTCTCAGTCAATGGTCCCTGCTATATTATATACCCTTATAGTTCTTGTATTTAGTAGAGCTTATTATTTACTCACGTGATTATTGGATTAAAATCTGTCTCCCCACTAGTCTGTAAGCTTCAAGACACAAGGATATATATATTTTGCTTGGCATTCAATCTGCTGGATCTAATAAGACGCCCATAAATCACAGCCAATGTGGGTAAAGTAAATCGAAGTGGTGGGGCTAACACAGGAGCGACTGTGTGTGGGGTGGGGGCGGGGGGTACGATGGGGAACCTGAGACTGCATGCCTCACCCAAAGGCATTCACGTTTTTTAAAATATACTAAAAATATTGTCCCGCTAAATGAAACCTGTCTGCAGGCCACATGTGAAGCCCCAACTTACGACTTTTCCAGTGGGTATTTGTTGAATGAGAGAGTGTAGAGTCTACAAGGAAATCATTGTAAAAGCCTCAAAAGAGCAAGGAGGGAGAGGGGGTGGAGCTGAAAGGGCCTCCTTTTCAGGCCTGTCTACACCCTCGGAGGGTAAGGTCTCCCTGGGCTCCTTCTTTCCTCTTCCTCCTCAGTGCCAGTAGCTGCACAGATCAGTTGATCCATTCAGCATTTACTAAATACCTACTGTGCACCAAGCCCAGTTCAATTGGACCGTGTTCTCCCTCCTGGAGCCAGTGTGGTGGGACAGACAGAGCCACAGCCAGACAATGACAGTACAGTGATGGATGTTCTAGCAATAGTGTGGGAAAGGGCCATGGGGCCCTTGTCTCCCAACTTCTTTAGCGAGTAGAGAGGATTCAGAGGTGAGTATACAAGAGATGCCCCAGCAAGAATGAGGGGCTGGATCTGGCCAAAAGGGCAGGAGCCTCAAGCATTGGCCTGGTTGGTAACTCAAGAGATGGCCGGAGGTCTGCAGAGTAGGCTGAGAGGCACTGCCGTGGGCAGATTGGGGGATTCAGGGGGACAGGTGTCCATGCATGGCAGCTCCTGGCCACCATTTCTGAGCCAGGCTGGCTGGAAATCAGTACCTCCCTGTTCCATTGGCTTTCACCTCCCTCTAGGCTAGGGGTGTCGAACTCAATCAGAGAGGGGGCCAAAATCTAAAATCCAGCCTAAATCGCAGGCCGAATGGTTTACTGAACAGTCATAAACTGTCATTGTGATGGAAACGCAGCGGAGTGCAGTGATGACAGCGCGGTGCGGGCCACATTGCAAGGCCTGGCGGGACGGATTTGGCCCGCGGGCCTTGTGTTTGACACATGTGGTCTAGGCTGACTGTGACCATCTCACGGAATGGCTGAAACCTGGAGATGGGCAGGGACTTGCCCACTTCACAAATCAGGTCCCAGTAGAACTAGAGCTAGACTTCAGGCCTCAGGACAGGGCCCCTTCTCTGTACCTCAAGCCAGCCCCGGGAGGAAGCTACAGCTACTGCTTCACAAATCTCACAGCAGCTACGGAGGTAGCTCCCCTTCCTCCCGGGCCTCATCTTAGGGAGCCGAGTCCTTCGGACGCTCCTGGAAAAGAACCACAAGTGAGGTCCAGGGCTCCTACATCTGAATCCCCCGTCTCATCCTTTCCCTCTCTCTGACAGACGGAGCTAAGTAGATCAACCCTAGGGGTCCACACACCTACTAAAACCCTATGCAAGCTTCGTGAGGGAAGACAGAGTGGAAGAAACACCGTTGGCAGACCAATAAGCATGGATTCTAAACTTGACCCTACCACTTCTAGTTGCGTGCCATTCCAGCCAGTCATTGCGCCTCTCTGAGCCTTCGTTTCCTCGTCTGTGAAATGGGGCTAATTCTCACCCTCCAACGACGTAGGGCCATATGTGATCTAGCTAATAGCAGGTGGCAAGGAATGGTTAGCATCCTTTCGACTTTCTCCCTCTGGCTCATGCTGCTTCCCGGATGGCTTTGGTTTGTTTATAAAGGTCTCTGGGTCGCTCTTTGAGCTCACATCCTCTAGGGTAGGGGTGTCGAACTCAATCAGAGAAGGGGCCAAAATCTAAAATCCAGCCTAAACCGCGGGCCGAATGGTTTACTGAACAGTCATAAACTGTCACTGTGATGGAAACGCAGCGGAGTGCAGTGATGACAGCGCGGTGCGGGCCGCATTGCAAGGCCTGGCGGGACGGATTTGGCCCACGGGCCTTGTGTTTGACACATGTGCTCTAGGGTGACACTGTCCTTCCCTGAGCCTTTGGAGGAAGGGGCCCAGCTTCTGGGTGTCAATTCTCAGGCCAGGATGAGTGACCCTGAGCAGAACTTCAGCAGGGGACGGATCTCTGGTCTGTTGTAGCTGAGTGTAGCAGTGTGGGGAGGGAAACATGAGCCCTGGTTTTAATAAATCTTAGAGTTTGGAGGCTCACCAGGGGCCTGGGCCTCCAGGTCTGCAGACCTTCCCTCCTGGGAGGTCTCTCGGGATGTCTCCAGGGACCCCTCCGACACCCCATCCACGCTGCTCAGCAAGTCTTCAAACTCCTGGTGGCCGCTGTTGCGCACCGCGGCTTCCAGCGCCTTCTGGCGCCGGTAGAAGTGGGAGAACTTATTGAAGATGATGGTGATGGGGAGCGCCACCACCAGGATGCCCCCGAGGATGCAGCCCGAGGCCGCCAGCTTGCCAGCCACCGTCACGGGCACCACGTCCCCATAGCCCACGGTGGTCATGCTCACCGTGCCCCACCACCAGCAGGCGGGGATGGTGTCGAAGCCCACGTCCTCCTCCTTCTCGGCTGTGTAGGCCACTCCGGAGAACACCGACACGCCCACGGCCAGGTACAGCAGTAAGATGCCCACCTCGCGGTAGCTGTGCTGGAGGAAAAGTAGGAAGCCGAGTCAGAGCTGGGTGGGCTTACAGACCTGGCATTGGGCAGATGGGGAAACTGAGGCCCGGAGAGTAGAAGGGACAGGTCCATCCAAAGTTACAGAGCAAGGCAGAGCTGGTGCCAGGACCTAGGTCCCTGACTCCAAACGAAGGTCTTTCAACTACAATAATCAGCCATAGTCCCTGGGCCTGAACACGGGCCTGATTTCCACAGTCCTAGGTGCCTGCATCTGTTCCTTCTAATGTGGCAGCAGCTGGTGAATGAAAGGCCTGTGATATTTCTACTCTTGCAGAATCAAGAGAGAGCCACAGTTTATATTCCACAATGCAAAGGGTCGGTTTCGTGTACTTTTGACTGGTTGGCCTCATTTCTGATAAGCACAAAAATATTTTCTGCCTCTCAAGGAAGCTGAGAGGATATATATGTTCCCTAGACCCCTCACAGAATGCACTTGCTTATGGGTGTGTATATTTGCTCTGCCCCTGAGGCCAAGCCCTAGGGCAGTGGTCGGCAAACTTCGGCTCGAGAGCCATATGCAACTTGCGAGCCACATGCGGCTCGAGAGCTGCGGTTTGCAGTTCTGTTGACTAATGAGTTTGCCGACCACTGAGATAGGGGCTTAGTCACAGGAAACAACAACAGCCTGTAATTATTGGAATCGAGAGTCTAGATCAGTGGTCGGCAAACTCATTAGTCAACAGAGCGGCAAACTGCTGCTTGTGAGCTGCATGTGGCTGGAGAGCCGCAGTTTGCCAACCACTGCCCTAGGGCTGTAGTTCTCAACCAGGGCAGTTCTTCCAGCCCAGGTGATATTTGGCAATATCTGGAGACATTTTTGATAGTCACAACTGAGACAGGTGTGCTACCGGTATCTAGTGGGGTAAGAGGCCGAGGATGCTTCTAAACATCCTTCAATGCACAGAACAGCCCCCCACAACAAGGAATTATCTGGCCCAAATGTTAATAGAGGTGAGAACTCCTAGTCTAGAGCAGGGCTCCCAAAACTGTTTAAAAGGCAGAACCCAATCGAGGAGGTCTGGCTAGGGCCAGGGATTCTGCAATTCTAGCAAGCTCCCAGCTAATGAGAAAGCTGCTGGTGGTCAGGGGCCTCACTCGGAGTAGCCAGGCTCCTGTCTGGAGTCTTACAGCTGTGTCTGAGACCCTGGAAGCCTCCATCAGTACTCTTCCCCTCCTCGCAGCAAGAGCTGGTGGCCTCGGGCCCTGGCTCCCTGCATGCTGAAGGCAAGGCAGAGTTCTGGGATGGAGGGGTCATCTCTGGAGAGGCGCTGAGTGCAGGGTGTCTAGCTAGTGGAATTCTCTCTATCTGTCCACTGCCCCAGCATTCTGCCCGGGTCACCCTGCCTGCACCCAGCATGCTGGCTGCCCTGCCAGGAGGCGTACAAAAGGCTTTACTAAGCTGTGGTTGGAAGGGATAACCAGCATCTTCCAGGGATCGTTAGCAGGGGGGTCTAGAGGGGGGGTTAGGAGGAAGAATGTGAGGTGCTGGAGTCAGGCACAGCTGGGCTCTTCTCTAGGCTCCGCCCCTCATGGAGGAACCTCCGACAAGTCCCGTCACCTCTTGGGGCCTCGGTTTCCACATCTGCAAAGTATCGACAATAATACTTGCTCCTACTTAAACTCCATTTCCCTTGGGATAAAGTCCAAAATCCTCAGCCAAGGGGTCAAAGCCCTTCAGTACCCTCTTCAGCCTTATCAACTGGCACCCCTCCCTCCATGTCCCTCTCCCATCATCCATCCTGTTCTCTCTTCAGGCCTCTGTCCAAGCTGTTCACGTGCCTGCTCTCCACCCCTCCCCAATCCAGGAAATTTCACCCCTCAAGGGTAAGCTTCCCCGGGCAGTGATTCACCCCCAGTGCAAGGGCCTGGCTCACGGAGGGTGCTTCAATTAATTGCAACCAGGCTTTAAAAAGCCAGCCTCAGGTCTGTCATCTACGGGAAGGGAATAAATAAGAGCATCTTTCAGGGGATGAAATCGATAATGTTTGTGAAAATGGCACCGAATTAGCACTCAGTGTGAGCTCTGGGGCTGTACTAGACTTGTCTACTAAGCAAGACAAGACCTAGGATATCTGTGGCCCCTAATAACCTCGGAAGAACGGCTCAGTGGAGAAGCCAGTTAGCGTCCTGGGTTGCATATTGTTGTGCTACGTATTATTTGATATTTGACACATAGATCAAAAGTGACCTTCCTGTTTTATTTTTAATTTTTTTGGAAATGAGGACCAGCACAGCCCTGGGTCAGTTTTCTCCCATGGGGCATAGAGATAACCGGAAGGCTGGGAAGGTCAAATTGGACGTGAAATGTACACCTGCTGTCTGGCCCTGTGCCTGGTATAAAGGAGGTCTGGTGTGCTTCAGTCCACCGTGTGCCTGGATACAGCAGGCCGGTTTCGTGCATTTGCCGACCTGCCCCCTGGTTCCACCTGCTTCCCCCGCAGCCCCCCGGCCGGCCTCGGAGGCCCTACCTTGAGGGTGGCGCCCAGGGAGCGCAGGCCGGTGGAGTGGCGCGCCAGCTTGAGCACGCGGAAGATGCGCATGAGGCGGAACACCTGCACCACCTTGCCCAGGTCACCCAGATCCTCGCCGCCCGCGCCCCCCTGGTCGCCGAGCGCCGCGCCGGCCATCAGCGTGAGGTAGAAGGGCAGCACGGACACGATGTCGATGAGGTTGAGCGGGTGGCAGAAGAAGTTGCGCGGGCTGGGCGCCAGCAGGAGGCGCGAGGACACCTCGAAGCTGAACCAGGCGATGCAGAAGTACTCCAGGCGCCGCAGCACCGGGTCGTCGCGCACAGCCTCCGGGCTGCGGCCCGCCGCCACCGCCGCCACGGCCGCGGCCGCCTCGCGGGCCTGGTACTCGGGCAGGCTGTGGATGCACATGGCGGCGATGGAGGCGAGCACCACGCCGATGGACACGCAGCTGAAGAGCTTGCTGGGCAGCGAGTAGCCCGGGTTCTCCATGGTGAGCCAGAGGCGGCGGCGCAGGCGGCCGCAGCGCGCCGCGCCGTAGCGCGCCAGCTCGCGCTGCACGTCGGAGATCTCGCCCGGGTTCGGGTCCACGCTGCTCGGCGCGTCGCTGTCCTCGTCCCAGGCGCGCGGCCGCGCCACCCGCCGCTCCTGGTAGCGCGCGCGGCAGCACGCGGCCAGCGCGCTCTCGCCCAGGCCCCAGTACTCGGCCTCCTGGCCGAAGGCGAACACGCACAGCTCGTCCAGCACGTGCAGGCGGCCGGTGCGGTAGAAGTGCAGCAGCCCCAGGAAGAAGCCCGGGTGCCGGTCGAAGTAGAACTCGCGGGCGGCCGCGTCGTAGTCGTCGCACAGGCGCCGCGCCTGCTCCTCGGACGCCGCGGCCTGCAGGCGGCCCAGCCGCGTGCCCGGGAAGCGCGCCAGGGCGCGCGCGCTCAGCCGCCGCCGCACGCCGCCCACGTTCACGCTCAGCGCCTCGTCCCTGCGCCGCCACACGGCCGCGGCGCCCGGCTCCGGGGACTCGCTCACCATGGCGGTGGCGCCCTGCCCTGCGGACACGGGAGAAGCGCCCTTAGGCGGGAGGGGGGGGTCCCCGGACATTCCTTCCAGGAAGATCCCCGGCCCATTTACCACCCAGGGTAAGGTGACCAGACGTCCCGCTTTTGGCGGGACAGTCTCGATTTTTAACAATATGTCCCGCGGCGTTTTTAAAAAGTCCCGTTTTTGGAAAGAATCTTTCAAAAAGTTGGGACTTTAAAAATATATAGTTTATTGATTTTTTTACAGAGAGTAAGGGAGATAGTTAGAAACATCAATGAGAGAGTCATTGACCAGCTACTTCTTGCACGCCCCCTACTGGGGGTGTGCCCGCAACCAAGATACATGCCCTTGACCCCCCAGTCCTCAGGCCGAAGCTCTATCCACTGAGCCAAACCAGTTTCGGCTAAATTGGGACTTTTTTAAAATGCCCCGGGACGCCGGACAAATTGTTAAAAAGCGGGACGCCTGGTCACCTTAACCAGGGGTGTCAGATGTGTCTGGTATGCAGTGGGCGCTCAGTAGGTATCATGCCCTCTGGACTGAAGAGTCAGGCTTCGGTTGGACGAGTCCTCACTCCCTGACGGGGGGACTTTGGTCAATCACTGAGCCGTCCCACCCTCGCCTCATTGGCACAAACGCTGAACCTACTTTGGAGGCAGGTAGTCTGGCATCTGGGGGGAGGGATGCTTCTATAGGATGTCTCCCTTTCCCAGACAGAATTTGAGTTTTGCATCCATCCCAGAGGTCTCCTGTGGGATCTTGGACACGCCACCCTCAGAACCTAGTTCCTCCTTAGCAAAATGGGGACAGTGAGTGCTTCCCACCGAGGGTTTGGGGAGAGTCAGTCTAGGCCAGTCGTTCTCAAAGTGTGTTCCTTGCTAGCAGCGTTGGCATCACCTGGAAATTTGTCAAAATGCGATTTCTCAGCCTGCCCTAGATGGGCTGCGTCAGAAACCCTGGGGATGGGTGATTCTGACGCATGGTCAAGCTTGACAGCCATTGGCCGGGACTATTTACGGCATCTGCAGAGTCTGTCAGATTGAACTCTGGCTTTCTTGTGTGACTGTAGGCAAGTCATGTCACCTCTCTGAGCCTCTGTCAAGTGGAGATAAAAATGTCCACCTCCAACTATGGTTGAAAGGTCAGCTGAACTAACAATGTCTTTGTTGGGCGTGGCTCCCAGAAGAGGGTTAATACATCATCCACCTGCTCACTGTCTCCAGATGCACCCGGAGCCTTGGAGAAGCTGCTCTTCTCCGGCTCAGCTTCTTGCACAATGCAGAAGCCAGACCTTCCGGGGAGGGCTGGGGGATGGGGGCGGGTATAGAGGTGGTCGGCCTGCGTGGATATTCAGGGAATGTCAGTTTCCTGCCGCTGCCCACTGTCTCCAAGCGCTGCTGGAACTGAGGGCCAGTGACTCGCCTCCTGACCTCGATAATGTCATCTGCACTGTGGGTTCGGTAATGCCTGCCTCCCTGGGTGGACAGGGATGGAAGGTGCATCAAGCCGCTGGCCCAGTGCCTGGCCAGGAGTGGGCAGGGTGTCCTTCACTTACCCTGGGCTCGGCGGTGAAGCGCGTTGAGGTTTTTGTCCTCAGATGTGTTGTGTGGCCGGAGGCCAGTCTCCTCCCGTCTGGGCTTTGGCTCTCTTGCCTATAGAAGGGGGGTAACAGCGCTTCAGCTGAAGGGTTGTTTGTGAGTATGTGTGCAAAACCCCTGCAACACAGTACGTGCTCCTGCATGTCTTTCTGGTCGGACCTGGGCTCCAGTTCTGAGTCTGCCTCTTCCTGTTGACCATGGGCAGACCCTGCTCTGAGCTTCAGCTGCCCCATAAAGCGGGGAGCACTGTCCCTCCCAGGAGAGCCGTGAGGGTTACATGAGGAAAGTATTCACAGCAGCACGGTCCTGGCACATACACTGTGCACAATAAACATGTGTGCGCTGCAGCGGCCTCCCACCCTCCACCTGGGCTTGTCATCAGAAAATGAGGTTTCTGCCAAAACCGGTTTGGCTCAAAGTGGATAGAGTGTCAGCCTACGGACTGAAGGATCCCGGGTTCGATTCCGGTCAAGGGCATGTACCTTGGTTGTGGGCATATCCCACAGTAGGGGGTGTGCAAGAGGCAGCTGATTGATGACTCTCTCTCATCAATGTCTCTAACTCTATCTCTCTCCCTTCCTCTCTGTAAAAAAAATCAATAAAATATATTTATTTTAAAAAATGAGGTTTCTGCCCAGCTGGCATGACTGAGTGGTTGAGCCTCACCTATGAACCAGGAGGTCAGGGTTCGATTCCCGGTCAGGGCACATGCTCCAGTTGCAAGCTCGATCCTCAGAGTGGGCTGTGGAGGAGGCAGCTGATTAATGATTCTCTCTCGTCGTTGATGTTTCTCTCTCCCTCTCCCTTCCTCTCTGAAATCAATGTTTAAAAATGTATTTTTTTTTTTTTTAAAAGGAGGTCCCTGACCCAGTTCCATCACCATGAGCTGCCCCTCTGTGGGCAAACCCCTTTCTCTTTCTGGAACTCACCTTCCTGTTGATGAAAGGGGACAATGAATTCAGCAAACATTCTCCAGGAAGAGTACGAGTACCAGCAGGAAAGGTTAGTGATGTGCCCCACAGCTAGTCCACACACAGGGAAGGCTGGAAACTAGGTTTTGTGATTCTCAAGACTTTCCACACTTGTCCCGGTCACTTCCCTGGGCTCTGTGGACTCTTCCCTGGTTTGCATCCCTACCCTGAACCCTCCACCCTCCGGGGAGGTTTCTAACCCCACCTGACAGATGAACAAGCAGGACCAGCCTCCAAGCGGGGCCATCCCACACTGCTCCCTCCCTGGAGGGTCTCAGGGAGAGGGTGTGAGCACCGGGACCGCAGCCCCCACCTCCCTTCCCAGGACCACGCCCCTCCCCGCGGGAGGCCCCTTACCTGCCGCAAAGAGCGTCAGTCCCGGAGGCGCCGAGGCTGAGGCCCGGAGCCCCCTGGCCGCCCGGGCGGTCTCTGCCTGGAGGCCCCGCCGAGCCTGGCTGCTGTGGAGGTCCCGCTGTCCCCTCCTTCCCTGTCCTCCTCCTGAGGCCGCATCGATCGCTGCCGGGGGAAGGAGGGAGGCCGCGGGCGGGCGGCGGAGGCGGTGGTTTCTATTCCTGACTCGGCCCGGGGGTGTGAGGGTGTCTGGGGACCGGGCCCTGCGGCTGGGACATCCTCCCGAGTCAGAGACCCGGGTAGGAGCAGGCCTTTAGGGGCCGGGGTCCCCCCTAAAGAGCAACGGTAATGACAGCTCCCTAAGTGATGTGCTGGTCACTCTGCCTAAGGAGGTGACTTAGCCAAGGTGCTGCTCATGCAAACTTGTCAGGGACAGGGGCTTATGCTCCCCCTTTTACACAGGGGCCCCGTCACCTGCTCAGGGCACTCAGCGGGGCGTTGTGGACTTGAGGTAAGAACGCACCTCCTCTGTGCTGGGAGGCTGCTGGAGGGGGGGGGGGGGGGCTGCGCTGGGAGTCGGGGGAAGAGGCCTCACCAGCCCCAGAGCCCCAGGGAGACCTGCCCTCCCTGCTGGCTGCGGAGCCCAGAATAGATCCTCAGCCCCTTGAAGTTCAGTCTCCTCACCTGCCCAGAGGTCCCCGTTTCCCACTTCCGAGCGGGTTGTGAGGGTAAAGGAGAACGGTGACCAAGGGTTTGTCAAGGTTGTGTAATCTGCAAGCATTGATTGAGCACCTACTGTATGCCTGGTTGGGGAGAGGGTGCTGGAGACTAGACCTGGATACAAGAAAGGATTCCTAACTTTACAAATATTAATGGTTTTAAAATAATCATGACCAACATTTAACAAGCACTTATATTGGACTAAGTATTCTATAGGTCTCTCTCGTTTAAGCTGCAAATACATTATTCCAACCTCACAGATAAGAAATGTAAGGCTTGCCCAGTCCGCCTCGCCTGGCTCAATGGTTGAGCATCAACCTATGAACCAGAAGGTTATAGTTTGATTCCCTATCAGGGTACATGCCCTGGTTGTGGGCTCCATCCCCAGTACGGGGTATGCAGGAGGCAGCCAATCAATGATTCTCTCTCATTATTGATGTTTCTCTCTCCCTCTTCCTCTCCCTTCCTCTCTGAAATCAATAAAAATATGTTACTTTTAAAAAAAGGAGAAATGTAAGGCTTGGAGAGGTGACTTGCCCAAGGTCATATACCAATTTCTGAGTCCTCGAGAGCAGCACTGTTCAACAGATACAACGCAAGCCACCCATATAACTGAAAGTCTTCTGATAGCAACATTAAAAAGAAAACAGGTTAAATTAGTCTTAATAATATTGTTAGGTCGCCGAAGGAGGCATGCACGAGGCCGGAGTGGTGAGTATGAATTTATTCCATCACCCGCACACCAGGTGGCTGAGCCTGCAGTGCACCCAGGGAGGGGAGTCAGCAGCTTTTAAAGGACTTTCGGCGGATTTTTTCTGGACGGAGACCAATGGAAGGTGGTCACCGCAAGTGAAAAGTGGTCTTCAGCAAAGGGAATGTCCATAGTGAAACATCCTGAAAAGCCAGATCCTGGGGGAAGGATATCAACTTAACTGCTCCATCAAACCGAACAAATGTATTTTATATAACCAGTATACCCAAAATACCATAGTCTCAACGTGGAATCAGTAAATAAATTACTAATGAGAAGTTGCATTTTCATTTTTGTACTAAGTCTTCAAAATCCAGTGATTAGTTATTCATTGCTGTGAAGTTACCACAAACTTAGCAACTTAAAACAATACACACTTATCTTACATTTTCCATAGGTCAGAAGTCTGCGCACAGCATGGCTGGATTCTCTACCCAAGGCCTCGCTTGGTTGAAATCAAGATATCAACCAGTGCTATGGTTTTCATCTGGGGCTTGGGGTTCTCTTCCGAGCTCACAGGTTACAGGCAGAATTCATTTCCTTGTGGTTGTAGACTGAGGTCCCCTTTTCCTTCTGGCTGTCTGCTGGGGATCCCTCTTCATTGATAGAGGCTACACATGGTTTCTTCATAGGTGGTCCCATAGGCAATTCACAACATGGATGTTTGCTTTCTTCCAAGCAAACCAGAGTGCTGGCTTCCTCTTCTGTGACCGGCCAGGGAAAATGCTCTGCTTTTAAAGGCCAGGCCCACCCATAACCATCTCCCTTTGCCATCACAGGCTCTACCTACACTCAAAGAGAAGGAGATTATCCAAGGACAAGGGTCACTGGCAATTATTTAGAACTCTGCCCACTACATCCACCTACAGTAAATCTCAATTGGACCAATCACATTGTATGTGCTCTGTAGCCATATGTGACCAGTGGCTACCATATTGGCAGGCTTTATCACTTCAGTTCTTCCCTCAAAATTAGAAAAGAGACACTGAGTGCTGTCTTAGCCAACTCCCTTACTTTCTGAACAAGGAAACTGAGGCAGATCTGCAGAGAAGCAGGTCTCCCACTTTCTGCTCTGGTGCTCTATCTGCAGCCTTCAATCTCCCCAAAAGTTGGGGGTTCCCCCTGGAGTTGGAAAGGTTGTTTCCAGAAAGGTGTGACAGATCTGTTTCCAAAGGGCAGAAGGAATGAAGCCAGGATCTGGTTTCGTCCCAGGTCATGCTGAGGTTTGAATTCATGCTTGATAGCAGTGAGAAAAGGGGCATGGGGGCCTTTGGGGCTGAATATATCCATCCAGTGCCATGGATGGGCTACTCCCTCCAATCTCCTTCAGCTGCTAGCCCCAAGGACCATCTGAACCCATGGGGTTTTACCTAAAGAGTAAGCTGGATGTGACATAAAGTACAGCGATTTTGGAATTAAGTAGGCTGGGTGTGACATTGCAGCTTCTAGAATATTTCCCAATGATGCCTGCCTCCGGGTATTCATACCTTTGTGTAATCCCTTCCCCTTTTGAGTAAGACTTCCTGATTTGTTCCTAATGAACAGAATGGGACTAATGTGATGGAATGTCACTTCCTGGATGAGGTTACAGAACAGTTGGCTCCGGGCTGGTTTTAATGAAGCAAATCACGTGCGGGAAAGACGAGGAAGTAAAGGCAATCTCCCACTAACCACCAGCTAGGAACTAAGGAATTAAATTCACATGCCTTAAAAAAACTGAAATTCTGTCAACAACCACATGAACTTGAAAGCGGCTCCTTCTCCAGTCAAAGCTCAAATGAAACCCCAACCTTGGCCATTATCTTGTCTTCAGCCTGTGAGACCCAGAAGCCCAGGACCCAGATTCTATCATGCACAAGCGGCCGCCCAGCAGGTAAAGCAGGAGGATTCTGCCCACCTCCACCCTCTCCCCAAGCAAGTCCTGGATAAAGGGATAGCCAGGAATCCAGCTATTTGGGTCCAGAAATGTCTCTTGGGATGGCTGTCATTCCCTCATTGATTTCCCTCCTTATCAGGCCCTGACTACAGATGGGGACCTGCAAGAAATGGAAGTGAGCCCTGGTCAGTGTGCTCAATGGTTAGAGCGTCAGCCTGTGCACTGGAGGGTCATGGGTGTGATTCTTGTCAAGGGCATGTACCTGGGTTGCAGGTTCACTCCCTGCCCCCATCAGAGAGGATGTGGGAGGCAATCAGTCAATGTGTCTCTTTTACATCATATTTCTCTCCCCTCCCCTCCCCTTACTCTCTCCCTTCAACTCCTCTGAAAAT